TAAGTGATCTTATGCAATATACTAATTTTCCGAGGCTGAATTTTGTGGTTATTTTCTGTAAGCCTTAATAAGCATCAAACTTACAAGAAATAAATGTTTTAGATAGTTTTTGTATGGTTTAATTACCACAATAAAGAGCCACTTTTACAACGCAGCTCATTGTAAAACAAAACATGCCAGGTCTCACCCGCCCTAACTCAATGAAAAAGAAAAAAAGGAAGAAAAAAAACAATAACAAAACTTTGCTGGCCAGCACATACTATCGTAGCGTGGGAGAAGTAGACCAACAAGCGCTATAGGTCTGATGATCTGTTTCACTGCTGCTGAGCCGAGCCAGGACTATTACAGCTGCAAGGGGGCTGAGGCTTGGGCTGGGTATAAATGCTTTCAAACTGAGCGAAGACCAGAACAGTGCAACGTTGATGTGAGTAATACCTTTCGTGAAGAAACGGATGATCTTGTGCGATGATCTAAACCCCTCTAAAACGGGGAGCAGAAGGGCGCATCTTAAGTCAGTCACAGACGGACATCCTCATATGACTCCAGTGGCTGTTTATGGACTTTAGTGAGCTGCTGCGCCTGGGAATCTGTGAAGGCTCTTCTCACAGAGCTGTTGAGACTGGCTGAAACGGCGCAGTCATGCTGGCCCTGTTCTGCTTCATGGACTAAGGACCTCCACAGATGTTCCCAAAATGTGTTGGAGAGGAAGGGAAGCATGGTTGCTTCAACCTGTACATAATTTTATTTGAGGAATCATCTGTTTCACACCCTGGGACTCAAATAAAAAGAAAGGTAACATCCGCGGACTGTCACTAATTTACAATCAATTGTGGTGTTGAGGACAAGACGTCGTTACGTTCAGTTCGCAGCTGCGGTTGTAGTTTAATTTAAGGGACCCTGGTTAGCTGTTGTCTGATGCGCTACATGTTTTATGTTGCGGACTTCGGCATACGTGTGGACTTTTTTCAAGGAAATTCTGAAACATTTTTATGTCAGCTGAGAAAATATCTCCACCAACGTTGTGTTACGTAGAAGGCCTGTCCGGTGGTTCAGCCTTATGCTGTGCCAACGTAGCGTAGTTAGCATAGCGGTTAGCTAACGCACAACGGTCGCCTCGTATGTTCCTCCTTTTTATTATTCCAGACTAATATTTGTATATCACACAGACATAGTAACAATAGACAGAGTGAGACACGACACTTGAAATAAGTGTCTTTGTTATGACTTAAAAATAACTGCTTCGTTTTGTTAGACCATAAAGTTCCCGTTATGTTTGCTTGTGCTAACGGACTCGGAATATTTTTGTCAGGTAAATGACTGAGGTTTCGTTATGACTTAAACTGTAAAGTTTCTGAAGACCCAAACATTGTGTGGGGACTGTCATTGTGGTTAAACTGAACAACGATGTGGCTGTTTTTCGATAAATCTTTTTATTTTTTTCTTCGTTCCTTCCGAAATCACCTCATAAACGGGACATTTAAGTATTCTTTACAAGAAAAGGGTACGTTAAAAGAAAAAAAAAATGTGTGTATAAGTATATATACACACACAAGTAAAATAATATTAGAATTTTGGCATTGCCTATAAAAAAGCAGCAAAATGCTTTTTCTTTTATTACTGACCCAAGAGTTGATAACTATATTTTCAGTTTCTGTGGATCTCATTTTTGTATTAGTGTTGTTTGAACAGCTGATGGGCATAGAACCTAAATGTTATCTCCACTGAACATGGAGTACAAAGGTCTCTGACCCCAATGTTTTAGATCAGAGGTTCCCAAACTTTTCAGATTTTCTGTATTTACAAAAGATTTAAAACAAAAATGCTTTAACACTTGGTCATACAATTTCCTGTTGAGGCTAAAATAATATAAAATGATGGTTAAAATTATGTTAGTTTTTTTTATTGAATCAGGAAATTTGCTCTCATGAGGAATAATATTTAATTCATTAGGTAACTATGTAAACTGGTTGGTAGAACTTCATTCAGTTCCCTAACAGACACATTTTCTGCTTCTTTGTGAATGTTCTGCCTTTTAGTGTGTAGAGTAAGTTACTTTCCCTTGTAATAAGCCATGTTTGCGACTTTAGAGTACATCCTTACCCCTATGACAACTTCAAAGAATATTGAGCTTGGATTATTTTCAAATAAAACAAGTGAAGTCCTGAATAAGCTATAAACAAATAAATTATGTGAACTTGACTGTCAGATTAAGCATGCTTGCAAATCAGATCAGTTATTTTTTGTTCTATAGGTGCATTCAAGAAACATTAATAGACCATTTGGGTAATGCAAAAAATTCTACTTCTCTTTAGGTTAATTAATTATATCAATGGATTAAAACATTTTCAATAGATGCCAACTATGGGGAAAAACTAGCTAATGCCTGATATTCAAGGTATGTATTTGACGTTAACCTGGGAAAATCTTGGAAAGTTTTACCAAAGGGAGAGAGCAGGTTGTTGCATAATCACTACTGGAGCCAAAGACTCACTGATGATTTAAAATTATGTAATGGTAATGGGGATCCGGGTTATTGTTTTTCAGTTAGGGCTGTCATTTTTCTGATGGCTAATCCTGAAAAAGCAATTATGTCTTCTTTCTCATAGTCGGAGCAGGAGGAGCTGGTTGCAAGTCTTAGGGCAGCAGGTGTTTATCAGTCATCTTGGATCTGTTTTTCGATTTGATCTTCATGTGAGAGAATGCAGACTCTCACAAATGAGTGCATCCAAAAAAGGAAAAAGTTGCAAAGTTTAAAGCCCAATTTCTGAGTGTATTTTTCTAACGGCTTCCAGAGGTGTTGGCTCAGACCAGATGTGGTACTGGATTTGATTTAGTCATTTGAGTGTTGGCATCTTATTTTCAACAGCAGACCTGTCCAGGTTGAGAAGTGTTATTTTGGAGCTGATCTTATCAATATCAATATTGTTGCTCTGCTGTGCAATGACAATACATCTATTATTTTTTTAAGTTTCTTTGTCAGCCTGCTGCTTATTTTTTTTAATAAAATTTCAGATTTTTGTGTAATTTTTGTCCAGTTTGAAATAATAAAAAAAAAAACTTGCTTTTTTTTGTTACAGGTTAATTTTCTAAGCTACATAAAAGTAATTGGGAATGCACATATATGAAAATTTGGATCAATATTGATAGTGCTGCTATGGCATAATTTACCAATATTATATATATATATATATATATATATATATTAGTGACGTGTGGTGAGGTTCATGGCTGGTGAGGCACTGACTTAATTATAATCGGATTTACAAATCGAGACCCCCTGCATCTAATAAGATGTTTACGTAAGGAAATTTCGCGCATGCGTCCAATGCTGGAGGGCAAAAAGGCTATTCCTTTACATGCCATTCATGATTCCGTGATCTCAATCAAACTTAGACATGTAGATATTATTAATTTAGTGCTGTGCTTAACAGCAAAGGGAGAAACAACTCAAAACCACGTCTTTCTCGCTCTCTGTGTCAGCGCAGCTACTGTATAGCTAGCTCGCTGTTACTGTCTCTTACTCTGCAGTTGTGGAGT